CCCCTGCATCGCCTGCAATCTGTTGGCTTCACCGTCCCCTGCATAGCCTGCAATCTGTTGGCTTCACCGTCCCCTGCATCGCCTGCAGTATGTTGGCTTCACCGTCCCCTGCATCGCCTGCAGTCTGTTGGCTTCACCGTCTCCTGCATCGCCTGCAGTCTGTTGGCTTCACCGTCCCCTGCATCGCCTGCAATCTGTTGGCTTCACCGTCCCTTGCATCGCCTGCAATCTGTTGGCTTCACCGTCCCCATGCATCGCCTGCAATCTGTTGGCTTCACCGTCCCTTGCATCGCCTGCAATCTGTTGGCTTCACCGTCCCCTGCATCGCCTGCAATCTGTTGGATTCACCGTCCCTTGCATCGCCTGCAATCGGTTGTCTTCACCGTCCCCTGCATCGCCTGCAATCTGTTGCTCCAATCTTAGTCTATATTTTAACGTGCTTTATCGTTCTGTTGTAGAACATTTGAACAATCACCGTAACTGATTAAAAGAATTTTCGGCAGTGGTTATAAACGAGTTACTGTAAAATACCTTATTTTAGCTGGAATTAATTTTCACTGAAAAGACTTTTTGGATGTTTTGTATGGAGTTTATTTCCACTGATATTTGACAAGTTTAATTTAAAATATATTTATTTTCACTGAATCATTCCTTCAGCGAAAATTGATTCCAAGCGAAAATAAAGTATTCTACAGCCGGTGGCCACTGATCTTTTAAAGTTGGTCGCATCTTCTGGTCGTTACTACATGTTATAAAACTTTCGTAATATATTCTTAACGTGACTACATAAATACATTTGCCAGACAGTTTTTATAGCGCAATAGAACGTTTATGGCTTTTATGGTCCGATAGAGTAAAAAGAGAGCACTAAGAATTTGCGTAAATGAAGAGTTTAAAGGTCAAACAGAGTACAATAACATAAGTAAAATAACAGAAAAACATTATATTGCGCTACAGAGCTAGGCGTATAGTAATCCAAGATATGTTTTAGCTTTGAATACGAAACTGTAACTCTACATCAACATACGTCGACGCCGAAGAAAATTCTCGTCACTAACGCTGGGGGCGCTGTGCAGGTCAAAGATCGTTCGTGTCAGACGATCAGTTTATTATTAGATGACCTAGAAATATGTGGGATGTTTTGACCGGGCCTGTTTTCAGAAATCTGTAGTTTAGATTTGTCAGCAGCATTGTGCAGCATGCCTTGTTTGTTAGAGCGTGTTCTGATAACCGATGTGATCGATCCTTGTTGTGCCAAAATCCTGCAGAATAATGGCATTGAAGTAGACACTAAAGTCGGTCTTAGCCCGGATCAGCTCAAGGAAGAAGTTGTGGTAAGGTCGTAAATACTAATAGTGAAGTACCATATTTAAGCAATAATATCAAGCGTGCATTAGCTGCAATTCTGTAGTTCTTGATTTCGCTGTAGTCAGTTTTTTTTTTATCGCCGCTTGTGTGATTTCGTCCGTCATGACATGATTTCGCAATCCCCTCACGACGGACGAAATGACCCGTGGATAAGAAAGGACTTTAGAGAAAACAAGTGAGCTACAAAACTGCAGTTAGCAGTCAGTGGTTGAGATTTCGTCTGGACCGTTTTCTGCTGTTATGTTTGGGTACATGTCCACGCAACGTCGCTGTGTGTACGCACGTACATTGTCTTGCATTTCAGTCCAGTCTATTGTAGTTCTTCAATGCACCCTTTGTAGTGTTGTTGGTAATGTGATACTTGCCAGTAAAAATCCCAAACAAATGGTGCACGCCCATCACGTTATCCATTATCTGATGTACTGTGTAGGAATACCCCATGTCATGGTACAGTCCATATAGCCCTCCAGGGGTTCAGTATTTGCATGCTTATTGACCCACATTTAGTAGAGCCATGTACATGTACTGGTAGAAACAGTAGTAGTATTAGTGGGGTATAGCATGATTGATGGATATACAATATAATAATATATTCAACAAAAAGAAAAAATTACCACTAGTGTACTTTAAAAGTGGAAATATTTAATGTGTTTAATTATAGCAGATTCCAAGGTACAATTATCATTCACTGGGTTAGGGTTATTGAAACCAGACATATTTTGGCACAAGTTTGGGCTTACAATTCCGGGTGTTAGCCAGTCCACCCACCAAACAGACTGGAAACTTTGATTTTGGACTGGCAATTTTTTCCCATTTTTTTGTTTTTTTCCTATTGTTCTTTGATAATTTTACCAAAATATATCGAAAACCATCTACACTTCCATGAAGCTGAATTGTTTTGGACTTGCAGTTGCAAATTCCTGGCTAATAGCCTGTTACAATTCAACTGGATTTATGTTAATCAAAATTCAAATATTACATATAACATCTCTTTTTGTTGTCTTTTTACTGTAAAAGCATTACTTTTCACTGTGGATTTAATTTCATTAATTGAGATATTTTGTGCTGAAAAATCATCAAAATCAAGCACATTTATGGATGGATTTTGTTCAAATTATTATTATTAGACGTTATGAGAACTTGATGTACGTCATTTTATTTTTCTGATCAGATTTAACATGGCTGCATTTTGTTTTAATGAATGCACTGGAGCCATATCTGTGACATGCTTTGACTGATTATGTACAAATTTTATACATTCATTATACATCATGCTATAGATATATAGATGTATTCAAAATGGCCATTTTTTTTAATTAATGCTGTTCCAGAGCAATATCAGATACAAGATGTCAATCATTTTAATTAATGTTAAAAATCTAAAAATCAGCTTCTGTATCCATATCTCTGACATGTTTACATTCCAAACTATACCTCTTAAATTGGATAACTAATGGGAACTGTCCCATTCATGGCTTTTTTTTTTATTTGGGTTCACTGTTAAACTTGTTTTCACTTCCAGTATTATGATGGAATAATACTGCGATCAGCAACGTACATATCAGCTGAGATCATACAAAAGGCTGCTGAAGTTAAATTAATAGCATTTGCAGGAACCGGAACAGATTCTGTTGACAACGATGCAGCATCAGATCATGGCATTATTGTAATGAAGTAAGATAATTATCTTGTTTTTCAAGTATGGTAATTGAACCAGTTTGCAAGTCAGTAAAAACAAACTGGTTACAAACTGAGCCATATATAGGGGATAGCAGTGTTAACAGGTCGCCTAGTAACATCCTCAAAAACACGATTAGAGGTTTGTTTTTTCTAGGTTAGGGTGGAGAAGTATACACAGTGATAACAATTGTTTTGCAATGAGAAAAAAATCTTGTATGAAGTTTAATTCTTAACACAATTTAGAGACACCTCACATATTTAACAAGGTTAAAGAATGACAAATTATTTTCTATTTTCTGGTTCTGTGATGTGATGTTCCAAAAAATATAGGTGGTGTAATAATGACCTCCTTTTTTAGGTTTTTTTTTGTGGTTTTACCAAAAATGTGATCCATCATTAGAATTTGATAGCAAACTACTCGATAAACAATTCATATTTTAACTCAGCACTGAACATGTGTACTTGAAATATTCCAAAGCATTTGATTTAATTTAATTGCTTGCAGTGCTCCAGGTGCCAATACCATTAGTACTGCTGAACATACCTGTGCCATGATACTAACAGTAGTCAGGTAAGTTGATTTATTTCATTTCATTGTTATTGATGAAAAAGGGAATGGTATGCTGCAAAACAAACTGGATACAGATACAATAATGTTACATTATTATATACTCTTAAATTTAATGAAGGCATGAATATTTTATAGAAATTTCTAAAATATTTGTCAAACTTTTATTTTTGAAGTTGGGCTTTATTCGTATCCAAAAAATGCACTTTCATTGGTTATAGAAGCCATTTGGTGCTACTCATTACCCATGAGTCTTTGCAGGTTTCATTCAGTCATTGGCCAATATACTACCATGCATTTGTGAATGGTCAAGTTGTCTTGAAAAATTGTATTCTAACACATTCATGCCTTTATGAAATTCACTGTATTTATGCTCATATTCAATGACAGTTAATAATTTAGACCAAATTTTCTGCTATAGTGTGAAATCTTTATTTCAATATGTTAGTGACGTCATAGTAACATGATTTAAAATGTGGCAAATATTGGTACAAAATTCCGAATTCTGTAAATAAACAGAAACAATGTTAGTTGTGTTAATTTGTAGGAATCTTCCACAAGCCTATGTATCTATGAAGGAAGGTAAATGGGAAACTGAGAAGCTTACAGGTATATCTTTAGATGGTAGAACCCTTGCTGTAATTGGTCTAGGTGCTATTGGTAGAGAAGTAGTAAAACGAATGAAATCATTTCGAGTCAAGGTATAAATGATTTCAATTAAGGGTGTTTAAGATAAGGATATGCAACTTAGATATCTGTGTGTGGTGATAAAGATTCCATTCTATGTGCAATTAAACTTGTTTTTTAGCAGTGCATGGCATTGTGTACAGAATACAGTAGTTGCTTGGAGAGGTTTGATTGTGGGAATGAGTGAAGTTGCCACATTTGAAAATTAAGGTGAAAACAATTATAAGCAGTTGTTTTGTCGGCAAAATTTAGTGTGACATGTTAAGTTATACATGTACGGCAATAAATACAATAGCTACAGATTTCGCAAGATATCCTTCTTGCCAATAGCTGATTATTATCAAACAGGTTAGTTGTGATTACCAGGCTCCCAAAGCAGAATTCTAACATCAATGCATAACAAGATTCATTGTAGGGAAGACAATAGATAACTTAGTCAATAAACAACCCAATGAATCAGGTTGCAATTAGTATAACTCGTGAATGCTGCAAATTTCAGATTTGACTTTTGGTCATGTTACTCAAAATTAAATGTGCTTTCAACTGGTTAAAACTACCTTTTTTGACTGCCCAATGACACCCATATTCAGTTTTCTCACTTGTGCCCTGTATGTGCAGGTTAACACCTACCAAAATATATCTGGTTTTTATTAGCAAGGGGAAGGTTTTTGTGTTTGCAATTCCTGATTCCCAAATTGCCATCAGACACGATGCATGCGTAACCTACCTAGCAAGAGATTAGGGTAGAACAAAAATTTAGAAACTCCAAAGAACAGCGACATATTTAACAATACCCAACAATACAACCTTAAGGACACAACAAAAAACAGCCTATGATGAACACTTACAATCGTTCTCTCTTTCATTTCTCACTTATTTATTTGCACATTCGTCTTGATGTTATGATCGTCTTGCAAGTTCTGCAGTTTCAAATTTGACATACACCACACCTTACCTTGAGCTGTATTTTACTACCACCATCTGTAATTTATATATGTCAATGAGTGAAGAGAATTTGATGAAGACATTGTGGGGAAAAGTGAACGTTTGATGGGTATATACTGAATTATCAGGAAATTGTAACATGTGGTAAAATATGTGGTTATCTTGATTGTGTACCTGGTGCAGCATGAAGATCAAATTTATAAATGGATGCATGCATATTCAAAGTCACACTCTGTATTGAAACACTGCATTATGGGTACACAACACACTTTGCCAGGCGAGGTGTAAAAGATGTATCACTGTTGAAAGTGATCATAAAATAATATTTGCTGACTGTTTTGTTTCAGTTGATAGGTTACGATCCCATGGTAACAGCCAAGCAAGCAAAAGAGATTGGTGTTGAATGGTTACCGCTACATGAGATATGGCCCAGAGCGGATATTGTCACACTCCATTTACCAGCTATACCACAAACATTTGGTGAGAATCTCGCTATACTATTCCACATATGGGATGGGATTTTCAACTTCTCCAAACATTCTCCAGTATGGGTCACTGTTGGCAAATTTGTTTCACCAAAATTGGCTGGCTTAAATCAATTGAAATTAAAGTTGAAACGCTTCATTGCTAAATTCACAAAATTTGTCAAAAATGCGAAATAATTAGCATTTTTGTGTGTGTGAGGTTTAAGTCAAAATCTGCCTATTAATATTGCGGATATAAATGAGAATATAAATGGAAGGTTTATATCCTACATTTAAATGTTTTGTCCACAATTCTTGTTTAAAGTACAACCATAGTCGTAGATCATTGGTCAACATGTCATTCAGTGTTCTGTACACAAACCCAAAATAATGGATCAAATTTTATTTCAATTCATCCAGGTATGATAAATGATGCCATGTTTGCTAAATGTAGACGTGGGATGTATTTAATCAATGCAGCTAGGGGGGCCATTGTAAAAGAAGACTCCCTGCTAAAAGCTTTAAACAATGGTACCTGTGCTGCTGCTGCATTGGACGTCTTTCAGGAGGTGAGTAATCATTGTCATAATAAGCCTTGTTCACACTGGTTCATGGTAACCTGCTGCAAATAAAGTGTGTCAGCCCTCTATAGTTAGGATTGTGTGCATGTCTGGGTTTACACCATTATCAAGGTTATACACCAATATACAAGAAATCAGAAAATAGAAATAAATTGAACAATATAATAAATTTAAATCAACATTTAATTTTAATTTCTAGAATTAATCGATAATGTAGACCAAAAAATATCAGCTTATGCATTGCCCATAGAAAAGTTGAGATGTCAACCAGTACCTCCAGAGGCAGAACTTTGTATGCCATGTGACAGCCAGGCTGTTGGAAGTGAAACACATACATGTATGCTCTTAAGTTGTAGCCATAATGAAAATGCCTGGGCAACATTTTATGTACTTTTTACCTTGCCCATATCATTAAAGATGGAAGGGAAAGGTATATTAAGGGGAAAATGTGTGTTGTTGTTATTATTGTGTGCACAGTAACTTTACTAATTCTATTCCAAATTTTTGCTTGTTCACCTAATTCATCAGTAAAAATCTTCCCTTAGTACAAATGACAGGTGTGAAAATATCATGCAAAAATTGAGAAAATCTGATAAAATATTTTGAATGTTTCTACTTGACTGACCACTGGTGATACACATTCAAAGGTCACTGATACCAGGGGGAATATGCATTGTTGTTTGTGTTCAATAAAGCAAATCATTTATCTTTATATCATTGGTAATGTATCTCCCAAATTCCATGGGAATACTGGACTGGGTTTCAATGCCAACTCATGGAGAGAGTTGCTGCAAAGTCTGATACACATTTGCAAACCTACCAATAAATTCTTCACAGAAAACAAGATGTCAGATAATCAATATAAGCACTCCTATGAATTGGGTGCCAAACTTTGATCAAGATCTGAAGCCAATAGAAAATCTATTTAGTTCAAAGTTATAAAAACAATGCAAAAATAGATAAAAAGCAAAACATTGCATCCACATTTTAAAAGAAAAATTGTACTCAAAATTCTGTATTTGACAAACAGTTCCTTCATCAACACATTTTTTTTGTTGAAGTATATAAATTTTGATAATCAAAATTCACAGGAATTTGTTTCAGCTATTAGAACAGAATTATAGAACTTTTGTAATACTAATTTAAAAACAAAGATTGCTGTGAAGATGTAGATTCACAGGAGGCAACAGTACTGTTGACTTCTCTCTCCACTGGACACCAACTAACTATTTGAGTTGATTTGCATTCAAAGCAGAGCATACAACATGATAGCTATTCATAAAGGGAGATTTTTTTAGTCACACAATGAATATTATAAGGCAGTTCATATTTGTCTCAGTAAATCATTAATTTTTGACAGATACCTGTACAAAATACTTGGGCAAAAACCAGCTAAGATTTTCTGGTATCTTGCATGCACTTTCTTAGATGAAGCATTGGTTTTTATACTAAAATCAATTACTTTGAATAAAGCTGGAAATTACGTCCCTTAAAATAATTAAACAAATTAGGCAACAATGTTTTTGTAAGATATTTACATCAATCAAGGACATTGGTAGACTGCTTTTCTAAAACTTGTTTGTATTCAAAATTATGACAATGCATATTCCTATTGAAACAAACTATGATAAAGGAAATAATATTATTTAGCAAAGGGCAAGGTCACCAGAGTTCAACTATGTTTATAACTGGCTTGGCAATTCCAGCCATCAATTAGGTATAGTGTCACAGAATTTCGACTACCCAATAAAACCCATATTCACCTCTCTCAATTGTGCCCTGGTTTTATGAGCAAGGGCAAGGTTACAGTTGGTGTGCTAAGTTTTTGTGTTTGCAATTCCTGATTTCCAAATTGCCATCAGACGTTATGTAATTCTATTTGTGCATGTGTAACTTACTTAGCAACAGATGAGTGTAGAACAAAAATTTAGAAAGTCTAAAGAGCAGCGGCATATTTAAAATGTTTTTTTTTTTTTTATGATAGTGGAGCGAGTGTGGGTGGGTATAAAGGAGGGCAGCTGGAAGATCTATTTAAGACAGCTGAGAAACATGGATTTCCAGTTGAAAAGTTGATTTTTCAGAGAAAATGGACTGAAATAGAGATGGTATTTGTGTGTTTGAGTGAATATAACAATGACAATGACAAAATACTTGCAGAAAATATGAAAATATTATGCTATATCCAAAGATAATATGTATGTTGCTTGGGCAGAATAGTGTGCAAATTTTCAGAGGCTGGTACAAGTTTTATTTTTGGTGGTAGTTTTGTTTTAGGGTAATTTTAATGTTGAAAGTTGGAAACATAGATATTTGGTGTACTGCAACGCTGCCATTTGGAACATTCTAAATCTGTCCTACCTTCTGGTTAGTTGACCTCAGATCACGCAATATGCGCAAGCGCACAAACGATGAATGCGCAAACGCTATCAATTCGGGTATCATGAATTACTCATACTCTGAATAACTTAGTATGCCAATTTGGGTTTGCTTCTATATTAATTTTTTATCATCAACATCAACATTTCTATACGCATTTCACAATGTCATCCATGTGGACCAGGCTTTCTGTGATTGTATTTTTAATTTCTGTTTTCTAGGAACCTACTCGTAATGAAGAACTGATCTGCCACCCTAGAGTTGTTGTCACACCACACTTGGGAGCCAACACTATCGAAGCTCAGATTCGTGTTGCCGCTAACGTGGCTCAACAGTTTGTTGATGCGTCCAGTTGTATTAAATTGGCGGGAACGGTAGGTTTATGTGTGAAGGGATAATATAGCTATGATTGACAACAGTGACTTCCAACTCATGAGTGACACTCTATGTAAAAAATGTTCTTTGAAACGAAAGTTTTTTCAACTGATCTCTATAAGATAATAAAAATAGAGATTTCATCTTTACTAGATCAATGCTAGATCCATGCAGGGGAATATTCATGCTTGGTATGAACTAGGAAGACGTCTTGGATACGTTGTCGCTATGTTTATTGGTCATCTCTCATGTGACACTAAAGTACAAGTAATTACATGTGGTGAGTTTAGAGACATGAGTTTCTCACAAAAACAATTTTTGAGACCATTTATCTGAAATCCATTAGCTTCTCTTCTCAGGTGCTTTGATTTTGAAAAACTATTTTCAGACTTTTAGTCATTGCTTTTAGGGCCTTCCTATTTAATATTTACCCAGAATGCATTACCATTGTCATTTGATTGGCTGACACAACTCTTGATTTGGAAATTTTTAGTACCAAGGGTGAATATAAGCACAAAGTTTTTTAATTTTTTTTCCTCGCCAAAAAAAAGCATGTTTTGAAATATCATTGGAATATAAAAATGAGGCAGGAAAGTTTGAACATCTTGTGATGACAGCCACTGACCCAGTAATTGATGCTTAATCCATTTTTTGCATTGTTGTCCAGATACACATTTCTTTGCAAGTAGGTGGGAACACAGTTTGTTTTCCTGTCCTTCAAGATATTATTTCAGAGTACTGTAAAATCATTTATTTGCACTGACATTTAATTCCACTATTTCAATGCTTTGAGAAATATCATGCACTTAGCAGAGAAACAATGAGTTCTATTGTTATTCTACATGTTCACATGGATTCAATTTAGCGGAATGGCAAAATTAAAAATACAGCAAGTAATTAAAGCATTTACAGTAACTGGAACTAAATAGAAATAATGAAAAATGTATTACATCATAAATTAAAGGCATGTAACTGTTGATAACCATTTATTCGTTGAAGATCTTTAACACCGTCCATCATTTTCATTCCATGGCATCATAAAAATGCAATGGACACTTGGAAAGTTTCATCACCCTATTCAATGACACAAAAATGATTGAAACATGTTCTAGGTAAATAAAGCTGAGACAAACACGAACCAGTTCTTCCAGAAAATTCATTTGATATTTCTAGATGTCAAATGGTCTT